GGGGGTGCTGGTGGGGGTGGGGGTGCGGTAGTTCTGAACTAAACAGCGACGGCGAACGATGCGGATGACACGGCCGCTGATCTGTATGTAGACATTTATTTTATTTCGGCTTGCTATCGCTTTCGTTTCTTTCAGTTCTGTTTTGTTTTGCAGGCACATTCTACCTAAGCAGACCCGTGACCTTTTGTGTTGATCCTATTGCGCGGCAACGTAATGGTAGAGTTCTCAGCGAGGTGGGCGGATCCGGGGTTGTTGTTTTTTTTGTTGTTTTTTCACGCAACCTCAGGTTCCCGATTATTGAAACAATGAAAGCAAGGAATCGAAGGAATCGAATCCGAACCCATATACTTACTACTGATGTGATTTCTTCCGTGGAGTTCAAGTTTTCTTCCGGTGGTTCCGACTCGTAGACAATTAGATGATTACTTCCGGTGAGTAGTGAGTACTTCTGGCAAGTAGCGTATGGCATGAATTACTTCCGACTTGCCCAACACCTGGTCAGTTACTGGCTACCTGATCGACTCCGAACAGCTTGAGGATTCGGGATAACCTTGAATTCGGAACACAGAGAGGCACAAAGTTTTTTTTTTTTTTTTTTAATAGAATCTTTTTTGAAAAAGAAGAATAAATAGAGTAACTGGTAACAGTAGGTTTTAGTTTAAGTAAGGTTTATGGCGGCCGCAACTGTATAAGATCACATGAACGCAAAGAGGTGAATGCCAACAGAGCGAAGTCCAAACGGGGAATCAGGCTTACTCTGCTCATCTCTCTAGCCTCAACAGCACAAAGTCTGCTTCGACTATCAAGGCACCCCAAAAAAAAGCAGTACACAAGAGCATGGCAAACATACAAAAGAAACATAGAAAAAAATAACGATATTGAGGATGAGGAAAGAAAAAGCAGCAGTTCCCCCTATGTTGTTTCGGCACATAATGAGCATGACATTGATAAATCAGCCCGTTTACAACTCTACTGTGCTTAAGAAAATGTTCATATCCCCCCTTTGGGAATGGCCTTAAGATAACTTCAGTCAGTAGCCCCGCAGTGGTTTAAACATTTATTTTTAAGGAATCGGAGCTTTTCTTCCGTAGCACAAGTCCCACGAATCGCATCCGGACTCGATTTTTTACCCAGCTCTAGCTCTCAGCGTGGTGCCATTCTGCTGATGGGACTCCCCTGCAGATTCTGTTTGTGTGGTTTCACACGGTGAAAAATTGTTTTGAGCGCATTCCTTGTTTCGAGTCCCTGCGTCTTTGTCCGCAGCAATGGCGCCATTGTAAGTGTAAGTACGTCATTGGAACGAACTGTACACTGCGCAATGACATTATACTGTGCTTAAGAATTGATGGAGGGCGCTATTGGTAGGTCAAGGGTGGAGAGTGCTATTTCGATAGGTCATTTCTCTTTGTTTGCGTCTGTCTGTCTGTCTATCTGTCTTCTCAGCGCTAAAACACCAAACTTGTGTCGATGTGTTTTTCTTCGCAAAATCTTAAATATACTGAGTTTGGACTCAAGCTCGTGTTTCTGCCGCCGTGTCACTTAACAGTAAAGTACAGTAGATTGTTTGTGATCTAAGATTCCCTTGACATTTGGCTAGTATTGGAGGCAGGCTGCTTCTACTCAGGGCCAGCTGGGGCTGTTTTGAGCACTCTGTATCTTGACAGACAGACTGGGTAGACAAATTCCTGCTCGCAGATTATCGAGCCAGAATTACCAGTAACAAGAAGAAGAAGAAGAAGAAGAAGAAGAAGAAGAAGAAGAAGAAGAAGAAGAAGAAGAAGAAGAAGAAGAAGAAGAAGAAGAAGAAGAA